AGGGAAACCTTTTCAAAACCAAGTCCTATTCTCTCTCATCTAATTGAAATATAAAGCAAATAAAAACAATGCTATCTGGTAGCTCACGTCACGTCCCCCACTCTACTCGTTCCGAGCCCCACGGTCCAAGGGTTTCTTATCCTTTTCAATCAACCACCAACACCACTAGGCTAAGGCCATTTAATTGATAGCATAATACTGTTGTAAAACCTGTATTGCAAAAGATCTTTCTTCCGTAGTTTGTGCGTGCTGAAGAATCGGATGATGCAGTTTTTGTAGAGTGATTTTGACCACGTGCTCTGTAACCTTCCTAGGTATTGAGCTTCCACGTCTTCCGCAAGCTACGGGCTGCCAACGTTTATTTTGCAACGTTTTAATTAATTAAAATATTATTTTTCTAAAAGATATTTTGGATTTTTGGATAATGGGCTTGATCCATGAACTCTATAAATAGGAAGCTCCTCCTCCATTCCAAAACACACAAAATTTCATTCTTTCTTATTCTTCTCTTTTCTGAGTTTCATTCTTTAGCTCTTTGGGTGTTGCTCCCTCCACCACCACCCCTTGCTTCCTCCACCACCCCATTCTTGTTTTACCCCTCTCTTTATTTTTTCATTCCTATTTTATCCTTAGTAAAATTTTAGGGTTAATATTTTTTAACTGTTATCCACTCTAATCATCTACATGTATGAACCAATAATTTTTCTTTCTCTTTATCGTTCGTCCCCTCATTGTTTCATTGTGCTTTTCTTCCTCTCTTTCACGTTTCACTTCTTCCTCTTATTTTTTAATTGTGATAGAATTATAGTTTGAGAGTGTGGTAGACTTTCATTAGTTGGTGTGCTTAGTAAGAAATTGCAAGTGGTAGTGGAAGTAATTGATCAGTGTGTAAAAAAGTAAACGATATAATCTTTAAACGACGGATGTCAACATCCGGTTAAGAAAAAACGGATGTCGATATCCGTTTTGTCTTAAACGGATGTTGACATCCGTTAAAAACTACATGTTTATTTTCTGGAAAAGTTGTACCTGTGACAAGTAGTATCAGTCTTTCAGAGTTGGTTCACTTGGCTTCCAACTGCAGTGCAGAGATTTCAAAATATATCTGCCACATATTAATCATTCAATTTTATCATTGAATATATAAAGGTCTTACAGCCCCAAACATTAATAAATTTTTCGAAGGGGTACCCTACCCCCTTTCATATATACTATTATTTAAACATATATGTTGATTTTCCCAATGCATGTTGTTCTTCATTTACGTTCACCGCATAAACTTCCACAAGCACACACTATACCATGTCAGAAACAATACTGTATATTATATAAGGGCTTAAGAAAGAAGAGGCGAAGCTTAATAATTGAAAGCGAAATCGCTTTGTGAGATGACAAGAACGGGCATGGTGGAGTTTGGCGTGGAAATATGAAAAGAGAGAGAGTTGGGAAGTGGATCTGAGTGAAAAGTAAAAATGGATAGAAAGATAAGGTTTAAATTTAAAATAAATAAATAGAAATAAAAATAAAAAAAAGGTTATTTTTGTAATTAATTTTTTTTTTGAAGAAGGTTGGGGAGGTGGAGGAAGAAGTGGTGGTGGTGGAGGGAGCAACACCCTAGCTCTTTTTCTCTTCTAAAATTATTCTGGGTTATTCTTATTGACGTTCTACAGCAAAACATGTATTCTTAGTTATTTTAGATTCTACACATATATCACATTTACTACTATATTTATCATGCATATTAATAAATCCTAGTTGTTTTAATTTCATAACATAGGAAGAATTTAGATGTCCTAATCTAGCATGCCATATATCATATGAGTCAATAATATAAGCAGAAGAAGATGATTCATTAATATTTTCAGAAATGTTAAGTACAAAGAGACCCTGATCACAATAAATACAACATCAATATATAAACTCTCTCATAAGAAATTTCGAGAAATTAAATAAAATTAAAATTAAATAATTTCTTAATCACTTCCAACATACTTTCTTCATTCAACAACACACCAAAATCAATTATGTAATACTATAAAATATAATAATAATTTAAAAAGGTATTTTCATTTCACACGGATCTTACATGTGAAATGAGCAAGTTGGGAGAAGTGCTGAGTTTTGGTCCTGGTAATCGTTTACAGTGACATGGTAAACGATTATGCGAGTGAATTCTGTGTTTTGTACAGAAAGTTGCACTGCAGGAGCTAAATGTGGTGTCCTAGGTGACCATTGACATACTTTTTTACTTTCTCACATAAGTCCTGTGGTTTTGACTCTAATTAATTGTAAATATGAACATTAAACACTTGGTTATATAACTTGGTCTATTCATTTAAGTATTTGTGATAAGTCAACAACTGTAACTATTTGGCATAAATTCATTTATTTTATTTTGTTTTGCACTTCCTCATGGACGAAACAAATAATGTATGCGAACAATTGAATCTCAAACATTTCATTAACTTCAACATAAATCAGCATAAGATCACATTAATAACAATTAACATAGTCAACGTACACAATATAATGCAGTCTAGGTTTTTAATATTACAGTTATCCCTGAAATAGTTATAGTGGTCATAAAATAATATTATAGTTATCCATAAATAACTAATGCTTGTTTGGTTCTTTGGATGTTGATGGTTGGTCAGATGGAGGGACGAATTTGCGGAGGATGTCATCCACATTCTTATTGTTTTCTGCCCACATAGGTAGTCGAATGACAGGTTCCAGGGTGTCCTTCACCAGCTCAATTATTGGAGGACAAATATCAGCTGGAAAAACCTTCACTACGTTGCGATGCACGATATTTAGGTAGTAGTTTTTCCGAAATGCAATGAAGGATTGCACCTAAATAAACAAACAAAATTAATATAAACAACACCATCAAAGGTAAATAAAACTAAATTGTAATTTAAGTAGTGAATGGATGGGTTACAAGATTGAGTAACATAACGGAACCAACTCCGATATTGTCTCCAAATTAAGGATCTTGAAGAACTTTCTTGTGCAAGGAAGCCTTCATTGTTGCTGTTGGGTCCTGCTCAAATTTAATTATTAAATAGTTTATACGAAGAACTACTTTTGTAGTTTAAAAGAAATAATACCTTGATAGTCAACTACATATCTCCCAAACCATTTGGCTTGCACTCTTTCAATATGCAAGCAACAAATGGAAGGACCTGTGCTGATTTTGCCTCATCAAGAGAATTGATGTTCTCGAATTTTTCATCTTTTACGAGAACTTCAATGAAGAAAATCATATGAACAGAGAATACATTTCGTTGATGTCAAGATGTTGATTGAAATGAACAGGAGTAAAAATATACTGTGGTGTTCAATAAACATTTGTGCCCATTTCCAAGCATTCGAGTTGAAATCTCGTTCATATGTTTCCTGAGCAACATCACGAGCAAATTCTTGAGTGGACTTTGGTTGTTCTGTTTTTGTCCTATTGAGGAAAGCCACTTGAACATTACCTGTTGGACCAGGTATAAGCGATGCCGAAGCATCGCATTTTTTCAAGAATGATTCAAGGACGTCATCATCATAAACAAGGTCTTCCCATGCATCCATGATTATCCTGAAATTATCTGTAACAATTTCAATACCACGCTAAGGACACAAGAAGAACGGGAAGATTAAATTACCACATATAAACTAAAATAATTGTAAAGGACTTACATATATAGTCAACAACTTCGTTGCATAAGAATGGGTTTGTCCCACCTATTTAAAGACCTCTGGACCAACTTATTATATTTTAATTTTAATGTGAAGTTATAAAATATAATTTTAATACTTTTCCTCTTTCATACATCAAATAATTATCAAACCTCGGTTGATTAACATCCCTGAAACTTTTTGGCAAATCTTATGAAAGAAAAAATCTCTTAACTTGTTGGAATAAACTTGCATTAAATGTGGGGAAATAAAAAGTGAATTGCATTAAATGTGGGTTATGAGAGAGAAACACTTTTTTGTCAGCAAATTGAATGCATGCTTCGTAAACCAAACCAAATGAATGCATTGTGTGAGAACGTAGACTCTTTTCTAAGCAAGTAAAACCTACTCAAGAAACTGGATAGTACTTCATTTATCTCCGTTAAACTTGTACTTTGTCTCTTCTACCATTCGTGTTCATTAAAGACACAGTGAACTGTCATCTTCTGGAGTTTGGTGAGGACGACATTAGCTTCATTTAAGGGGAACTTAATGTTTTAGAGGAGGTTGGGTAGGACCACTTCACCTTCATTAAAGGGCACAATGAATCCTGGTGTGTAGGTATGAATGTATTTCTTCCTTTTTTTAATTTCATGAGGCATTAAATTCCTTCCATTGCTCAATGTTATGAATGTTTTTTATTTCGTTTATTTTATTTATTTATTAGTCATACCCATTGACGTTTGAAGTTTTAAATGCCCAAAAAATAATTTCACTATGATCATAGCCATTTTGTAATGAATTATTATGTGATGGTTAATCTTTCTGAATAGTGAATTCTGTTATTTGTAATACATCATTGATCCCAAATGTTTTTTTTCACTACTATCAGGCATTCTAAACGTGGTTGTGATGTCTAACAACACAAGTACTATGCTTGAAGTGCCTCAGTTTAATGGCAATATTGATATCCGTAATGACAGCTTATTTGACTTGGAACCAAGGTTGCATATGTGTTTTCAGACAATGGAAGAAGCAAGACAATTTTACACAAACTACGCCATTGCATGTGGCTTTGCTGTGCGGACAAGAACTTCTAAAAAAGATAAAACAATGTGTACTGCTTGAGATTAGTTTGCTCAAGGGAAGGGAAATATGTGTCTTCCATCAAACCCGAGGTAAAAACACTTCCTAGTAAAACTAAGCAATGTCCAGCTGGGATAACCATTGCAAGGAAGGACGATAAATGGTTTATAAGGACCGTTGTTCTAGATCACAACCATGATCTTTGCACGAATAACTCAAAGCTAATTGGTGGCAATAGAAAATTAAGCATGCAAGCTAAACACACCTTGGAGATCAACGATAATGCAAGAGTTCGGAATAATAAGAGTTTCCTTAGCATCGTCACCAATGCAGGTGGATTTGAAAACATGGAGTTCATCGAGAAAGATACGAGAAACTACATTGGCCAACACATAAGATCTTTATGTAAGGATGGTGATGGTCAGACCCTCCTACGAAACTTTTCTTCAATGAAAGATTTAAATAACGAGTTCTTCTATGACATTGCATTGGACGAAGGGAATAGAATTTGTAGTGTGTTTTGGGCTGATGCAATAAGTCGAGCCGCATGTGAAGAATTTGGTGATGTGGTGTCCTTCGACACCACGAACTTAACAAATAAGTATGACATGCCATTTGCGCCTTTTGTTGGAGTTAACCATCATGGACACTCGATTTTACTTGGTTGTGGATTGCTCTCTTCGGAAGACACTGCCTTATTTGTATGGTTGTTCCAATGTGGGCTTAGATGCATGCGTAATAAGGCCCCTGATGGGATTATAACTGACCAACGTAGGGTATTGGCCAATGCCATTGAAGAAGTGTTTCCAAATACAAGGCACATGTGGTGTTTATGGCATATCATGAAGAAGTTGCCAGAAAAATTTCAAGCTTATAAAAATTATGTGGCTATCAAAAGCAAACTAAACACGCTTATTTATGAATGTGGTTGTCCAACAAAATTTGAAAATGATTGGGAAGAACTACTGACCAAACATGGATTGGAGGAGAATGAATGGCTATGTAATTTGTATGAAGAGAGACATAAATGGGTTCCTTGTTACTTGAGGAATCATTTTTGGGCAGGCATGTCAACAACTCAAAGAAGTGAGGGAATGAATGCTTCTTTTGATGGATTTATCAATTCTAGTACCACACTTCAACAATTTGTGGTTCAATACGACAATGCACTAAGGGTGAAGCCCAAAAAGAAATACAAGTTGACTTCTCCTCCCTCAACACCACGGTTGCATGTGGCTTTCAGTCACTAATTGAGAGACAATTTCAAGTTGAGTACACACATGCAAAGTTTGAGGAGGTCCAAACAGAGTTTCAGTCAAGGATGAATTGTTTCATCAAAGACACCGTAAAGGACAACTTATTCAACACTTACACTATAAAAGATGAATGCATGTGGGAGGGTAATCGTTTACCAGATAAACTTTACAAAGTGCAATTTGATCCAGTCACAAACAATAGCACATGTTCTTGCCTATTATTTGAGTTTAGATGCATCATTTGTCGGCATTCCCTATTGGTATTCGGTCAGGAAGATGTTTACAATGCGCCCTCTACATACGTTCTACAGCGGTGGAGCAAAAATATACATAGAAGGCACACACTCATTAGAGCAGCGTATAGTAATTCCAGTCATGAACCGACGATGCAAAGATACCAAATTTTGTGCAAACGATTCTATGAAATTGTTGAGGTAGCTTGTGAGTCAGAACTTGCTTCTAAAGAATTGGGAAAAGAACTTGCTTTGCTTAGTAAAAAGTTTGGGTACAGTTCATCCATGACAAATAACATCATTAGTGATGGAGGTGAACTACGATATGATAATGCAATCAGCGGTACAATACCCAATACTGGAGTTTGAAGTGTTGATGTACTTCTTCACAATCCTTTAGCTGTTAAGCGAAAAGGACGACCACGCACAAACAAGTTGAAGTCAATCGTTGAGAAAAGAACCAAAAAACGGAATTCGGCTGATGAGTCAATATTTTCTCAATTTCACTTAGCTTATTGTACCGAATTTAATTAGGGAATTGTGCTTAAATGTCCAGTATTTTCCCATTTTTCCTAATTGTGCTTAATTTGATCGGAAATTCGTATTTTAACTAATTTGAATTATCATGAGCTAATTATTTGCATTATTAATTGCAGGGGAAAATTGTTGGATAATATTTGAGACATTTGGAAGAATATTCATCTGAACACTGTCCTATTTTACTTGGAAGAAGCTACGCTTTATTCAGATAAAGATGTGCTGATCCGTTTTGGAAGAAGGGCTTAATTTTTCTGTTGGGATGTTACGGTTTCATCAATTGAATAAGAAAGGCACCAACATCTCTACTCATTCAATTGCACACGGCTAGGACCCATTGGAAAATTCATTATTGGCAAATCATGAGAAGCATCTACGTTTCCACCACTTTCCAAGTAGTGTCCACGGTTTTCTCAAGAATTTTTGAAGACAATAACAATTCACGTAGGAAATCACCAAAGACTTGAAGTGAAATGATGGAGGGGACCACTTTGCAAAAGCTCACGGTTTTGGAAGATTGGCCCATGGACAATTGATTGTGGCAAGCAAAGCAACTCGGCCCATACCTTCTTCCATTCAGCAGCACGCGTCCACGAGAAATGAAGGGGGTGCACGAAGAAGCTTAGAGAGATTAGAAGGTGCATCCAGCAACACCACACAGAAGACAACACGATGTCCAGCAATTGGATTGAGAGGCACTTTCGGTCCAGCACAGCAGCGTCCAGGAGCTTCCTCTCAGTCCAGTTTCCACGCCCACGGCCCATGAGGGGGTGACCTAACGGGGGACAGCCACCAGCTTTATGAGAGTTTTCCCTGGAGCATTTTTTTTTAGAGATGGTAGAGATGGAAGGTTACGGGTGAGGGCTGGGACATACCACTGGCCACACACTTTACATTCTCGGTTTTCTTTTGGTTTTGGCGGATGGTATTTTTGAACTTTTTCTTTTGGCTTTTGAACGCTGTTCTCAATGGGATGAATAGGGAGCTTACGTTTATTCCTTTTTGCTGATTTTTCATTGCCTTTTTCATTTTGGTTTTGTGCACTTTTAGACTCAAGCTTGGGTTAAGCTGCTTTCACGTTCCTTTATATATGCCATAAATTAGAATTTTGCTTTACTTACGCTGTTACATTATTGTTCACTCTCGCTGCTTTGAATTTATTGAGCACCTTGCATTGTTTTTCTTTACTCCTGCACATAGGGGGGTTAGCTCCAAGGGTTTTATTTAGCTTTATTAGATTCAAGTAGCACGTGGAGGACAAGGAGCAGAGGAAGCATGGTGATTGAGGCCAGCAAAGAAACAGAGAGCACATAGCTCACGTGGGTCCAGTAGCAGGCAGCAGCGGTGATGGATTTTGGATAAAGGGGAAGCTTTTATTTTTGGCTTAGGGGAAGGAAGGAGGAGCTGATTTATTTTGGCTTAGAGAGTAACTCACGGCATTTCATTGGGCTTGTGCACGGCATGAGCATTAGATGGAGGTGCAGCGGGTTAAGGTGGCATGGTTTGCTACAAGATTTCTTTACTTTCTTTTCACTTTATTCACGCTAGAATATATTTTTTTTTTTTTACATGTGGAATACATTTAGTGTTAAATGCATCTAATGTTTTAAAGTTATTTTCACTTGTTCAACAATTGCAATTTAGTTTACTGATAACGCATTTTCTTGGTGTCATTTCCGTGATGAACTGCTTTTGTTGTTTAGCTTACTCGTTGCATTGAAATGGATTTAGGCACTTTTTGTATTTCGTTTTATTCCACGACGTTTTAAGTGTTTCAGTTTACTATTTTCATTGACTTTAATGTTGTCTATTCTGTTCAACTTCTTTTTCTTTCCTACATTTCAATTTCCACTTTTGGTTTAGAGACCGTTCGGTCACAATGTAGAACCGTTCGGTCATTAGTAGGACCGTTAGGTCTTCATGCGTTGTTTATTTAATTCAATGTTTTCAATTATGTTTGATTGTATTTAATTTCCAATTTTCAATTTAGTTTAATTGCATTCACAAAACACTTTCACCAAACCCCCCCCACTACGTGTTCGACCTGAGACTCAAATCACATTTGGTCCTTGAGAGACGACCTAGGAGTCACTGCCTAGTCTATACTGCATTCTTTTAGAAACAACTTTTGTGGGAGGTGCGACCCTCTCATCATCGGCTTCAGCCAAAAAGACTTCAACACCATCCGTACAAGAAGCTGTGTAATTAATTAAGTTGTTTATTAAATATATTACTTCAATTTGTTATAATATTTTCTAAATTTAATTCTGTTGATTCAGGAGAGAAGGATACCTGATGTTCTACAAAGTGATGAGGTTGTTCAATTTCAATCCCAATCTTACCAACTATGACAACAAACCGAAGTGGCTCGTTCTATATTTATGTCTTTGTTGTCAGCTGTACATAACAATTTCGATAACAACATTATTTGATATATATAACTTTCTTATTCTTCTTCTATGTATTTTATATCTATGTTAATTTTACATTATTATGTGAATGATGAGTAACTAATTACTTGAATTATATCATAAGCAATTGCATGATGCGCATTGTTAAAAACCCCTTTCATGTACTGTTACACTGGGTACTGTATGAAAGCAATGTTTGGGACAAAAAACCGATCTTGTAATTGTTACCAATGAGGAGCATTGGTATCTTGAAAGCTACTGTAAAGTTTTGATGATGATAAAAGCCGAAGAATTGAAGACTCTAAATGTATCTTTGTTAAACGCATTTTGTAGAAACAAATGTATAGGATAAAATGTAATGATGTAAAAACTCTTAGAAGTTTTCGTATGTAGTGAGTCATTGCACAAATAATCGATTATCAAGAGGAATAATCGATTATCACGAGCCAGTTTAGAAGAGAGTTGCTTGCGCAAATAATCGATTATTACACAGAATAATCGATTATCACTGTTTCATTTAATTCTGTCCAAGTCTCTGGAATAATCGATTATTGCTCAGGATAATCGATTATCACCATTTTGAAAACCCCATAACGGACGCAAATAATCGATTATCACTTATGATAATCGATTATCAGTGGCAGTTGGGAGATGTCTTTTCAGTTTTTGACGCTGCACGAAACTAGGCTTATAAATAGAGGTCTTCACAGCTCTTAAAAAGAACTTTTCAATTGAGAGTATTAGAGCTTTGTGCCTAAGGGAAGCTCTCTGTGAGTGAAAAGGATCTATGCCATTTTGAGAATACAGTTTGTCTGAGGAAGTTCTCAAAGTGATAGAGTGCTCTTGCCTGGTCTTGTGAATAGGAGAAGCTCGCGTTTTGTGTGTCAAAGGTCGGAGCGGTTCTCTTCAAGTTGGCTGAGCAGGTTCTTCCGTTCGTTTGTCGAAGGAAGGTGTTTTCTATTCTTTGCTTATTTTGATTATCTGATTGTAATCTGCAAACCATATTTTAGTGAAAAAAGGTTAATCACTATTCATAGTGATTAACGACTGGACGTTGAATCTTTTGATTCGAACCAGGATAAAAATCCATTGTGTCAACTTTTCAATTCCTTACACTCATTACTGTTTTATGCACATCAAGTGTTTGTTAAATTTTCTCTAAGAAAATTGATTTTCTAAAACGGACCATCATAACTTGATTTGTGACCGTAACACGCTTTTTGAGTATTTTATTCCGCTGCACGACTCTATAACGGTACCGATTGTTCCGACAGTAATCGATTACAAATAAGCTGTAATTGATTACAGGGTGATGGTCAGTCCATACAACTACCCACGACTGAACTTTTTTGGCCCATGTCCCCCACTTCAGTTTTCCTGTACTTAACTACCCACTGACCACGTTGTTCAAGTACCTTTCCAACATTATTTTCTCTCTCAAAACCCTAAGAATCCTGCAATGGTTGATCGTGCAAGCAAGAAGCAAAGGGCATCTTCTTCCCGTGGTGGACGTCGTCGTCGCCGCAGTCCAACACCATCCCCACCATCATCCCCAACAACTGCAAACAATGAACTCTTCTCGTTGGTTGAACAATATGAGAAATTTGCACTACATTTTTTCAATCGTGAAATATTGGAAAACAAATATCTCGAGGACGATTACTTTGAAGGAAGAAATTTTCTATTCTACGACATATTGGTCGAAGCTGGGCTGACGGAATTTGTGTCTTTAAGAAGACATTACTACCCAGAATTAGTAAGAGTCTTCAACAGCAACATGTCCATTTCGGATATCGGGGTTATTCGAAGCGAA